CTCCGCGGGCACCCGGTGGTTTGACGTTCATCGGGCGCTCCCGCGGCGGCAGATGAGGGCATCACCCCGCGTCGTAATTAGCGAGGTACTAATTAACCTAATCCTCTGGTTTTACAGCAGATGGGATTTCTGCCCTTCCCTCGGTTCCTCACTGGGCAGGGGCAGCTCCCGGGGGCCGGTGGGCTCGGAGCTCCCGCAGCCCTGGGGTCCCCGTTCCCGGCACCGGCGCAGAGCCGGGTCTGACGGTGACACCCCCGGCCCCAGCGCGGGGGTCGCGGCTTCCACGGGATTGTCCAAGAGAAAAAAGTGTTGGGACCGACAGGGCCTGTCGGGCTCTGTTTGCAGCAGCTGGTGCTTGGGGGGCTCAGCTGCAGGTGTTGGTGCCGCTCGTCCCAGGGGTGGAATTTTCACGCTGATGAAGTGACTCAGACCTGGGAGCCCAGCAGAGGGTTCTGCACCGGGGCAGGCCAAGGCTGGGACACAGGGCTGGTGCCTGAGCTGGGGAGATGTCTCTGTCCCCTTGGGCAGAGCTGCCCAGCCCGGGACCCCCAGGCTGCGGTGCAGAGCAGGGTCTTGGGGCAGCACTGGAGCCGTGTGCCCGGGCTGCCCCGCGCGCTGCGGGCCGACACGGTGCAGGGCATGGCTGGGCAGACCCTGTCTGGGGGTGCTGTCCGGGGGGCTGCCCTGGGCACATGCCTGGCAGCTGATCCCATTCCCACCCGAAGGGGATGGCTGTTGCCATCGCTGCCCAGCGCAGCCTTTCCTGCCTGTGAGTCTGTTGGAGTTGCTGGAGTAGTGGGGGCAGAGGACTTAGCAGTTCATGGCTGGGCACCCCATGCTCCGTGGGTGGTGGACTCACAGCTCGTGCAGCAGGAGTTGGGTGTTGGGATGGACCCTCAGGAGCTTTGGGTCCTTGTGCTGTGGCCACAGGTGCCCCAGGGCCTGTCCCTGCCCTGCGCTCTCACCCTCTTTTCTCATCACAAATCTCAGTGTCACTGCTCTGTTTTCCCACCTCCAGGGCTGGCTTTGAAAACGTTCCAGAGGAGCAGAGCCAAGTTCTCCTGGGAGCTTTTTCAAACCGCTTGTGTTTGCCTGGAGCAATTAGCTGCTCTGCTGTAGAAGAACGTTTTTTCATCAGCCTGTTGATGGCTGCGTGGAAGCAGAGGCAGTGAGGTGCCAGGGCTCCCAGGAAGGTTGTTGATGGCATCTGTCCTGAGGCTGTGACACTTGCTCTTGATAACCCTGTTAATATGATACTTTGGGTACCAGCTTCCACCTGCTGGTGGCACTGCAGGGGACAGGAGTGCCACAGTCCTTCCCAGGCCCTCTCCAGTGATTTCTCTGTAACTTTGCCTCTGGGAGTTGTTGCTACTTGTTGTAGGCACAGGCGAGGGCTGTTCTGGGGAAGCCAATTGGGGGATCACTTCCGGAGCAACAGCTCTGCTTTGAAAAACAGTGTTGAAGTGTGCAGAGCTCTGCCAGGGTTGCCACACAAATTGGGCCTGGCTCTTGTGCTCTGCCCTTGCAGGGGAGCTAATGAAAGGTGAACTTTAGCTCTTGATCTACTTTTAGCAGCTTTACTCTGAGCTCTGCACAGCCTGTTTACCCTGGGCTTGCATCATGCACTGGCTGCCTGAGCTGCTCCTTGCCCTGTTCCTGTGGCAGGAGGAGAAGGAACCACAGATCCTGGCAGGGTTGGAAACGTTCAACCCTCAGACCTTCAAAACCAGTCAAAGGGTTCCCTGCAGCGAGCCTGGCTGGGGAGAGGCCCCTTCACGGGGCTTTCAGGCTGATGAGGTCAGAGCTTCCTAAAGCTGGTGCCAGTGACAGTAAGGAGGGCCACAGGGACCCTTTACCTCCTGGACAGATGGTGCTTTGAGCTGCCTGGCTGTGGTTGCCGCAGGAGCTGGAGCTCGGTGCTGTGCCGAGGGCTCCAGCATCTCAGCCTTTTGGGAGGGCAAGGAGAGATCCCTCGAAGTGAGACCTGGTTGTAGTGCAGCCCCAAGGGGCAATGAATGGGCACTAGTCCTGCCCTGGGCTGTCCCTGGGGGCTACTGCTCCGCTCCTGCCGGCCACAGCTCTGCTGTGCTGGTGCCCATGGTCTGTGGTGACTCCCTTGTTCTCCTCGGCCGTGCCTGGTCAGGAGCTGCCTGTGGTGGGAAGGCGTAGAGCAGCTCATGTTTCGTTCTGTGCTAGTTCTGTTTTCTGGGGATGGTCGGATGGTGCTGGGGCCCTGGCAGGGCGCTGGCTTCCTGCAGAGCATGCGCTGCGGCGGGGAGGATCTCAGCTCTAGCAGGAGCCCGGGCGGCCGCCAGGCCTGTCCTGCCGCCGTGTGTGGCAGAAGTGGCTGATTCCCGGCCCCCCCTCCCCGAGCCTGCGCCGGCTCCTTGTGGCTGCCCCGCTGCCATGGTTTGCTGCGGCTGGTTCTGACACCTCACCTGTGCCCAGCTGGTGTGTCACTCCCTGCAGTGACCTTTGGAAAAGCAAACAGCTCTCTGCAGGGAAGGCACTTGCTGCTGGTGTGGAGCAGAGCTCTGTTCCGTTGCCTCTCGAGCGCTGTTCCCTTGTTAGCGTTGGTTTGATTTCCATCAATATGCAAGTTGCTAACTCGAAAATTGGTCCTTCCTTGTTTCTGGTGCTTCCCAGCAGTCTCCGCCTTCTGCCTTTACTGTAAGCTCTGCAGCTTCTTCCCTGCCTCCTGGCACAGAGGCAGGCACATGCTCTGGCTGCAGGGTGCCAGGAGGACTTTGGCACCAGATTAAAGCCTTGTACCTGTTGCTGGTGACCTACATGCCCAAGACCTCTCCCCCTGTGGCAAGAAGGTAGGAAAGCTTTGGAAGGTGGTGCCTGACTCTAGGAGAAAGCTTTGCTGGAGGCAGGTGCCTAGGAAGTGTGCAGGGAAGCTCAGTGCTCACTGGGCTGAAGCTCAGCTCCTGAAGCCAAGCCCAGAGCTGCATTCCCTGTGCTCAGGGATCTCCTGCACAGCTTGGCACAGCTTGGAGAGGTTGGATGGCATTAGGAGCTGCCTGTGATGTAACCTGTAACCCTGGTATGACCCTGCAGTGTGAGTGGCACTGACCTGTCTGGGTCTGTAAGAGCAGCTGTGCCCAGCCCTGCAGTTCTGCTGACCTGAGCCCTCAGGGCTTGTGGGCCAGCTGGAGGTTCAGCTTGACCGCCAGCACCTTCTGCCTTGCTCCTCTGACCTGGTGCAAATGGCCACCGGCTGCCAGTGCCTCCATCAGCTCTGCCTTCTGATCTTGGGTGTTTCAGATTAATTTCCAACATGTAGTGAAAAGGCAGTGAGTCAGAATTGGGGCTTTATTCAGCTCACAGCCTGGGTGGCTTCAGTGAAACCTTGCTGCTGCTGCTGTTCTCCAGGAGCTCCCTGGGCAGGGGCTGGAGGTACCTTCTGCACTTGCCATCACTGGATTTTGGGTTGATTCTTAGGGTGGAGCAGTGCTGCATGGCCCCCACTCTTTGGTGCTCTGGCTGCTTTGCCACTCGCTCTGCAGGCAGGTCCCCTCCTGTGCAGCCCCGTCCTGCGCTGCCGTGGGCGCCAAGTGACAAGGTGCAAATGTCAGTGGGTGTGAGAAGGGCTTTTCCCCTGGCAGCCAGGCCACTCCCTCCCCGTCCTGCCCAGGGGAGCCTCCTGTCTCTTCACTAACGTGGTTTCGGTCAGTGGTTCCACCTTCCCCTGACCCAGACCTGCAGTGGGTGATGGCAGCAGTGCCTGCCCTGCCAGCTGGAGCCAGCAGCTGCTCTTGCTGTGCTGGAGCCCAGCCTGGAGGTGCTCCCCAGAGGCTCCTGGGCGCCAGCTCTGAGCAGCACGGTGCCTGTCCCAGCAGGTCTCCGGAGCTGGTCAGAATGGCGCAGTGGAACCAGCTGCAGCAGCTCGACACACGGTACCTGGAGCAGCTCCACCAACTCTACAGTGACAGCTTCCCCATGGAGCTCCGGCAGTTCCTGGCCCCATGGATTGAGAGCCAGGACTGGTAAGACTTTGTGAAACGCTGACATGGGGACTTTACTGGGGACACCACCCTGGGGTGGCAGCAGGTGCCAAGGTGTCGGTCCATGGGAGCTCTGTCACATTTCCCAGGCTGGTCCTTCTCCCTTTTTTGATGGAGGGTGGTGGGATTCTGCACATGGAGTGGGACCCTAGAGAATGAGAAGGGAGTTCCAAAGCAGAGGGGCAGACTGACATCAGCCTCTGTTGTGAAGGAGGTTGACATGGGGCACCCATCCCTGGGTCCTGTCCAGAGAGCACGTGGTGCCAGTGAGATGCCCCTGTGCTTTGCTTTAAGCCCCAGTCCAAAACCTCTCGGTTGCCGTGTCCCTGGGCACAGGCTGAGGGCTCAGTTTCTTGGCATGGAGCAGCATAGATCTGCTCTAGTGCAGGTTAGGAAGGTGCTGGGGTGTTAAATGGTGTGGGGCATTGGGTGTGAGCAGAGCCACCCTGGGCAGGGCTGGGCCCCTTCCCCGGTGCCAGCACCCAGCCCTGCCCCCCGCAGGGCGTACGCGGCCAGCAAGGAGTCTCATGCCACGCTGGTGTTCCACAACCTGCTGGGGGAGATCGACCAGCAGTACAGCCGCTTCCTGCAGGAGTCCAACGTCCTCTACCAGCACAACCTGCGCCGCATCAAGCAGTTCCTGCAGGTGAGGCAGGAGGGGCTGGTTTGGAGCAGGGGGAGCCACAGCCCCCCTGGCACAGCTTGGGACCCACAGCCCTGAGGGGTGTGGAGATCCCAGGAGTTGTACTGTGCCTGCTGACCTCGGGGGTCTGAACCTCTTACAGAGCAGGTACTTGGAGAAGCCGATGGAAATAGCCCGCATCGTGGCTCGCTGTCTGTGGGAAGAGTCGCGGCTCCTCCAGACGGCTGCCACCGCCGCCCAGGTCAGTGGCTCGGGGTCCTGGGGCTGTCCCACCCCCGGGAGGCTGGCAGAGGGCTGGGAACCTCTGGTTCCGAGGTGTTCCCTGCTGGGGTGGCTGCTGGCTCAGTGTGTCCATCTGTCCTCTCGCCCCTTGTGCCGGGCCGTGCAGCCCCAGAGCAGCTGGCACTGGCCTTTGTTAGTGAGGGGGTGGAGATCCTTCCTGCAGGACCTCCTCAGGGTTGAAGGAGAGTATCCCCAGGTGGTGGCCCTGTTCTAATGCCTCCTTGTGCCCCCTGCAGCAAGGAGGACAGGCAACACATCCGACAGCAGCTGTAGTGACAGAAAAGCAGCAGATGCTGGAGCAGCATCTTCAGGATGTGAGGAAGAGGGTGCAGGTATGTGTGCTGCCCAGGCACCTCCTCCTTGCCCCACCACAGTAATTTAGTGCTTTGAATAAATCCACATCTCTTGCCTTGCAGGATCTGGAGCAGAAGATGAAAGTGGTGGAGAATCTCCAGGATGACTTTGATTTTAACTACAAGACTTTGAAAAGCCAAGGAGGTAATGGAAGCTCATTAGTGTCTGGCAAACCAAAGCCTGTTTCTGCAAGGAAACTTGCTGGAGGGCACGTGCCAGCCCTCCCTACCTCTCCAAGCGAGAAGGGTGGCTTAGGCTGAGGCATTTGCATGGCAATTGGAGAAACCTTGTCTTTTGTTTCTGCCACCACCTCCCGGAGAGCTGAGCCAGAGCTCTGCATTTCAGCAGGGCAACAGCCAGTGGAGGTGCTGGCGATGGCTGCTTCCTAGGATACCTGCTCTTTTGCAGTGGGAATCTTGTTTGGGTGGTGCTTGGGAGGGGAGGAGGAGCCCCTGAACACTTCTCACCTCTCTGTGCAGACATGCAGGATCTGAATGGAAACAACCAGTCAGTGACCCGGCAGAAAATGCAGCAGCTGGAGCAGATGCTCACGGCGCTGGACCAGATGCGAAGGGTATGAGGTGCAGCCCCCCCGTGGGCAGCAGTCCCGGTTCTCTGGGTGTGAGTTGGGTGTTCCTGCAGGGCTGGGAACACAGCCCTGGGCAGCTTCTTTCTGTTCTGTGCCTGTGGCATCTGCAGATTGTGGAGGGATCAGAGCTTGAAGGCTCTTTCTTTTCTGACAGGGTATTGTGAGCGAGCTGGCTGGGCTGCTCTCAGCCATGGAGTATGTGCAGAAGATGCTGGCAGATGAGGAACTGGCAGACTGGAAGAGACGGCAGCAGATCGCCTGCATTGGTGGCCCCCCCAATATCTGTTTGGACCGGCTGGAGAACTGGTAGGAGCTGGCTGGGGGCTGTGTCAGTCCCCAGAGAGGTGATGTTCAGACACTGGTGCTGCTGGAAACGTCCGTGCTAAATGGCTTCTGATGCCTGTGAGCATAACTGTGACCCAGCGGTTGGTCTGATCCTCAGCTGAGGGCAGTAGTGCTGGGGTGGTTTGCACCAGGCCCTTGGGGTTTTAAGGCTGCTGTGGGAATGTCCTGTTCCTTCTGTGTTTCTGCAGAACTTGTGTGTGTGTGGGTTTCTTTTCTACTATGTGGTGTAGAAAAATGCACTGAGCAGGAGCCATAGACTGTTCTGTTCCCTGCTGGTGTGATATGGAGACCTTCCTTCCTCATGCCAATGAGGAAGAGGACCCAGCAGGGCTTGGCAGCTGGAGCTGACACTGGTTCTTCTGCTCCTCTAGGATAACCTCTCTTGCCGAATCACAGCTACAGACCCGGCAGCAGATCAAAAAGCTGGAAGAGCTGCAGCAGAAGGTGTCCTACAAGGGTGACCCAATTGTCCAGCACCGGCCCATGCTGGAGGAGCGGATTGTGGAGCTGTTCAGGAACCTGATGAAAAGGTGCTGAGGGCTGGGAGGGGGCTGTGGGCTGACCCTGATCCCGGCAGTGGGCAGAGGGGTGGGTAGGGGTTGTGCTGGGCCAGGCCTGAGGTTTGACTGTGGTTCTTGCGCCCTGCAGCGCGTTCGTGGTGGAGCGGCAGCCCTGCATGCCCATGCACCCCGACCGGCCCCTGGTCATCAAAACTGGTGTGCAGTTCACCACCAAAGTCAGGTGGGTGCTGCTGGCCCTGCCACCCCAGGGCAAGGGGAGGGCAAGGAGCTGTGTGGGGAAAAGCAGAAAGGACCTTTCTCCGAAGGAGATGCTGGTGTGGGTGTAGCCTCCAGCTTCCCCAGGGATCGCTGGTACTGGGAGGGGATGAATCCCAGCCGTCTGGCTGCCCTGCTGCAGTGCCCGCTGTGACTCAGTGCATGCCTGGTTTGGGCTCTGCAGTGTTCCTGGAGGCAGCGAGTTCCGGTAAATCCCGCTGCGGGGGCGAGAGGCTGGGAGAGCCAGCATGTCCCTGGCCAGCTGCCCTGCTCCCCACGGCTCCCTGCCTGCCTCTGCAGAGCAGCTGCTCCCACACCAGGCTTTGTCTGGAGCTTCTTCACCATCTCCCAGCCTCTGCTGCTCCCTTGGCTGCAGGGCAGCATGGAGTGGGCTTGTTAAGCACAGGTTTCTGCCTGGTGCGGGCAGGCAGCAGCCAAAGTGAGTGCTCCTTGGGGTGCCTGGGGAGCATCGTCACCTCCCCAGTCCTGGGGAGGGGTGTAGGGTCTGATGTGTCCTAGGCTCAAGGGAGTAGGAGGAGCTGGATAATACTAGGAGGAGCTGGATAACACCACGTCCCCAGGAGCTCTGTGGTGTGACCCTGGTGCTGCCTGGGGGACACCCACAGCAGGGCTGTCCATCCAGCTGCTCTTCAGGCTGGACCAGTAGCTGTGGGGAACTGGAGTTGTTCACGTGTGCAGGACATTCACACTCACACTTTGCCTCTGCTGACCCTTTGCAGGTTGTTGGTCAAGTTTCCAGAGCTGAACTATCAGCTGAAAATTAAAGTCTGCATTGACAAGTGAGTTCTGGGCTCTCATCTGAGCAACACTGGGTGGGTCACTGCAGGGGGGGTTTGTTCCTCCTGCCATTGGGTTCGGCTCCAGCCCTGCCCTGAGGCGCCCCATGGAATGGGAGGGTGGGGGTTGTGCTGGTTCCTAAGGGTTCATTCCTGGAGGGACACAGCTTAGGGGGCAGCCTGGGGCCTTGTGGGGCTCAGTGTGCTGCAGCCAGCCCTGCACACCAGCTTGTCTGCATCAGGGTGGGAAAGCCATGGCCATGACCAGGTGTCTCTCTCCCCTTTCCTAGGGATTCTGGGGATGTTGCAGCACTGCGGGGGTAAGTGCAATGTTTTGTTTTGGTTTTTTTGGTGCTTCTGCTTTTAGTCCTGGCAGATCTCGTTCTGAGAGGCCCTCTCAGCCACACAATCTCTTTCCTCTTTCAAGGTCCCGGAAGTTTAACATCCTGGGGACAAACACCAAGGTCATGAACATGGAGGAGTCCAATAACGGCAGCCTCTCAGCAGAGTTCAAGCACCTGGTGGGTACTATGAGCTCTCAGGCTGTTCCTGCAAAGGCCCCGTGCTGTGCAGTGCTGCCTCAGCCTGTCCCTTCCCTCCGCAGACCCTGCGGGAGCAACGCTGCGGGAACGGCGGCAGAGCCAACTGCGACGTAAGTGCTGGGAGAGTGTCCTCCTGTGCCTGGCCAGCAGCTGATCCATGAGGGGAAGCAGGAGCCCTGCCCTGGGGGAGTGTCCACAGGGACCCTCTGGCCCATCAGCAGCAGCTGGCCCAGCATTCACCACCCCAGCCCAATGACCATGTGCCTGGCCAAGGGCAGGCATCTCCTGTGTGCTCGTTCTGAGAGGCCCTCTCAGCCACACAATCTCTTTCCTCTTTCAAGGTCCCGGAAGTTTAACATCCTGGGGACAAACACCAAGGTCATGAACATGGAGGAGTCCAATAACGGCAGCCTCTCAGCAGAGTTCAAGCACCTGGTGGGTACTATGAGCTCTCAGGCTGTTCCTGCAAAGGCCCCGTGCTGTGCAGTGCTGCCTCAGCCTGTCCCTTCCCTCCGCAGACCCTGCGGGAGCAACGCTGCGGGAACGGCGGCAGAGCCAACTGCGACGTAAGTGCTGGGAGAGTGTCCTCCTGTGCCTGGCCAGCAGCTGATCCATGAGGGGAAGCAGGAGCCCTGCCCTGGGGGAGTGTCCACAGGGACCCTCTGGCCCATCAGCAGCAGCTGGCCCAGCATTCACCACCCCAGCCCAATGACCATGTGCCTGGCCAAGGGCAGGCATCTCCTGTGTGCTCACTGTGTCCTCTTCCACCCTAGGCCTCACTGATAGTCACTGAGGAGCTGCACCTCATCACCTTCGAGACAGAGGTGTATCACCAGGGGCTGAAGATCGACCTGGAGGTGAGCTGTGGGTTCCTGCCTCTCGCTGCCTGGGTGCAGAGGAGCCCTGGGAGATGTCCTAGCCTGTGATCACATCCTTTCTTTGCAGACCCACTCACTGCCTGTGGTGGTGATCTCCAACATCTGCCAGATGCCCAATGCCTGGGCGTCCATCCTGTGGTACAACATGCTGACCAACAACCCCAAGGTAGGACCCAGCACTGAGGGGACAGCTGGCAGAGCAGCAGTGCAGGCTTTGGGACCAGAGTGTCCCTGCTGGCAGGGAGTGGGAAGCTGGTGGGCTGGGAGCAGGGCTGGGCCAGGACCTGGCTCTGCTTCTGTCCCATGCGTTGCTCAGGGCTGTGTTTTCCCTTGTGCAGAATGTCAACTTCTTCACCAAGCCCCCCATCGGGACCTGGGACCAGGTGGCAGAGGTGCTGAGCTGGCAATTCTCCTCCACCACAAAACGCGGCCTTAGCATTGAGCAGCTGACAACACTGGCAGAAAAACTTCTAGGTAGCCCAGTGCGGGTGTCCTGCCCCTCCCTGCCTGAGGTTGCTCCCAGGACATGGTGTCTTGGAAAGAACAGCTCTAGCTAAATGTTAATGCTCCTGTTCTCCACCAGGGCCAGGTGTGAATTACTCTGGCTGTCAGATCACCTGGGCCAAGTTCTGCAAGGTATCAGCCCCCTCTTTCCCGAGCACCTTCCCTTGGCTGTTCCCTTCCTCCAAGTGACACTCACAGCCTCTCTGCCCTTGTCCTCAGGAGAACATGGCTGGCAAAGGCTTCTCTTTCTGGGTCTGGCTGGACAACATAATTGACCTGGTGAAAAAGTACATCCTGGCACTGTGGAATGAAGGGTGAGCCTTGGCCAGTGTCAGTCCAGAGACTTCTGGTTGGGCTGGGGCTTGGGAGGGGCCCCACAAGTCCTGTCCTGGTGGAGCAGGGTGCCTTGGCTAGGTGCAGGTGGGCTATCCTGGCATGGTTTTTCCATCCAGGCCCTGTTGGCTGGTTCAGAGTGAAAACCCACCTGGGAATCCTTAAAACGTTGGTGGCTTTGCTGATGGCCAGGGCCTGCTGCTGCCTGATGCTGTGCAGAGCTGGCAGGGTTCATGTCCTGGAACAGCTGCTCTCATATCCTGACCTGCTGTCCATCCCTCCTGATACCCAGATACATCATGGGGTTCATCAGCAAGGAGCGGGAGCGAGCCATCCTGAGCACCAAGCCCCCGGGAACCTTCCTGCTGCGCTTCAGCGAGAGCAGCAAGGAGGGCGGCATCACCTTCACCTGGGTGGAGAAGGACATCAGTGGTACGTCGCTCTCCTGGCTGTAGTGCCCTGCTTAGCAGCATTCCGGGTTCCCAGGGGGCTTGGACCACGGCAGTGTCCCCTGATAAGGCATTTTTCCTTTGTCCTTGTCCCGACAAGCCTCCCTAAGTTAGGTCTTAGGGGCTGGTGCCCTTTGCTGGTCTCCCTCTTGGGTGCCTCTGCCCATGTGCTGCCCTTGTGGCTCTGAAACCACCCACCAGGTCCCCATCCTGCCCTGTGCTGGGTGCTGAGCACAGCCCTGGACTGGTCTTGTCTGTGCTGCTCCTGGGGTGGCTGAGGAGGGCCCTGCCTTTACCTGAGGAATGTGGGTGTCTTGCCTTGTGTCAAAAGTCTCTGTGCACAGGCAAGACCCAGATCCAGTCCGTGGAGCCTTACACCAAGCAGCAGCTGAACAACATGTCGTTTGCGGAGATCATCATGGGCTACAAAATCATGGATGCCACCAACATCCTGGTGTCCCCCCTGGTGTACCTGTACCCAGACATCCCCAAGGAGGAGGCATTTGGGAAGTACTGCCGCTCTGAGAGCCAGGAGCACCCAGAACCCACTGCTTCTGACTCAGGTAGTCAGTGGGTTGATGTTCTGTGTTCCAGCATAGCTCCTCTGTTGTGTAGTGGTTCCAGGGACTGGTGGAACAGCTGTCACCAGCCAGGCTCCTGTGCTAGTTCCTGAAGGGCACAGCTGCAGTGTGGGGCTGGTGCTGGGTCCCTGTGGGCTGCACAGGGGTGGTAGCAGGTCTGGGCTCTGGAGGGGGAGCTGAGCAGGGTTCCTTCTCTGGTGACCAGGCTGCTCCCTCCTTTGCAGGTGCTGCTCCGTATCTGAAGACCAAGTTCATCTGTGTCACACCGTGAGTGTTCCTGGGGGCTGTCTGTGAGCATGGGAAGGATTTGTGTGCTCAGCCTTTGCTGACAGGGGTTTCCTTCCCATCACTGGGCTCCCAGCCTGGGCTAGGGGGAGCGTGGGGGCTGCACCAGGCTCCAGCTTGCTGCCCTGACCAACGGGCTTTGCTTCCCCTCCCAGGGCCCCTTTCCTCTGAAGAGCTCTGGGGTTGGCTGGGCCATGTCCTGGGGCCCGTTGAAGGGGAGAAGGTGTCAGAGAGCTCTGGCCAGGCCCTGACCAGGGGGTTTCTGTGTTTTCTCCCCTTGCACAGCACGTCCTTCAGCAACACCATTGACCTGCCCATGTCCCCGCGCACCCTGGACTCACTGATGCAGTTTGGCAATGGCAGTGAGGGTGCAGAGGCCAATGCAGGAGGGCAGTTCGGTGAGTCAGGGGGTCCTGGTGCCCGCGGGGGTCCTGGCTGTAGCCCCACGCTGTGACCTCGGGCTGTGTCTCCCTGCAGAGTCGCTGACCTTCGACATGGAGCTGACCCCTGAGTGTGCCTCGTCACCCATGTGAGGTGCCCGCGGGGCCTCCCCGCGCTGCGGCTTCGCGCCTCCGGAGAGCTGCCCGCCCGGCACAGCTGCTCTGCCTCCCCTCGGGAGGACCTGGGGTCTTTGCCACCAGTTCCTCGTTTGCCCCAAATGAACATCCCCTTCTCTCTAGGGTGGTGCCATTTGTGTCTTGGGGCAGTGAGAGATGAACCTTTTTCTATTTCCTTCCCTAACAGTTTTATATTATTGTTTTGCTCATTCAAGTGCCTATTAGCCTCTGATCGCAGCCTCAGTTTTTAAAACGCTTCTGCAGCCCCAATCGTGCTGCCTGCTGCTGAAAGCTGCTTTCCTGACTGCCAGGGTCCAAAAGCCTGGGAAGATCTGACAAGCCTGGATTTGCCTTCAGGTCCCTGAGAGGGGATGGGTTGGTCCTGGCCCCCATGCAGGGTTCTTTGATGTGGGGTCTGCTATGCTGTTGCCCGAGAGGAGTCTTCCCTCTGTACCCTTGGCCCCTGCTCTTGGCCAGAAGAACCAGGATGTGGCTCAGAGCTGCAAGGTGGATGGGCCCAGGTGCTCCTCCCCTGCCAGGGCAATGCCTCTGCTGGAAGCAGGGAGTTTTGGGGCTGCCTCTGCTGGCCACCAGGTTCCTGCTGCAGGCACCAAGATCCAGCTGGCTCCAGCAGCCCTAGAGCTCCCATTGGGACAACTGGCTTCCCTGTCATGCAAAGGCTGCCTCTGGCAGGGCAGTGGCTGTCCCAACAGAGCATTTGCCTCCATTTGCAAATTGGGTCAAGTCTGGGACCTGGATGTAACCACAGAGGCTGCCCCGTGGCCAGACTGGTGGTGAGGACATGGTTGCACTTCCTTTGCTGTGCCCAGTTAGACCCCATGGACCCCAAGGGAGGGTGGGAGGCTGCTGGGTCCAGCATGACCTGCAGCTGATGGGCTAGTCTGTCCCTTTTCTCCCTGGTATGGCTTGTGATGGCCCAGGCAGTGGGTTTGCAGCTTCTTGAGGCCTTCTTGTGGCATTTTGTTGGGGGTTGGCTGTTATTGTTAAGGTAGGAGGTGGCAAGAGTAGAAGGCAGCAGGATGTATGTAAGGGGAGGAACCTGCGGGGGGGCCAGCACTCAAAGGAAACATGGGTGTTGCAAAGGGCAGGTCTCCTTGCTCAGGGGGTCGAGCTGTGCTGCCCAATCGTTGTGGTTCTGCTCACCAAAATAGAGGAACCATCTGCCATACAGACTGATGAGCATCTGGAAGCCCGTGGTGGTAACTGGGCTGCGGCTGCTGCAGTGGGGTGGCACGAGGGGGTTGTGTGCTGTGCTCAGCCCTTGGCACAGAGGCTGTGGCTAACATCAGCAGAGAAATGTCTTGCTGGGAACTAGCCCCTAGCTTTACAGGTCTCTGATGTGTGTTGATTTGGCCCTGGGTGGAGAGAAACCCTTGATCATCTGTAGCAGTGATGCTGCTGTGGCACAGGGTTGACCCATTCCATGGCTCTGGCTCTTCTGCCCAGTAAAGACCGTGGGGTGTCCCTGTGGCCCTCCAGCTGTGCCAGCAAACTGACAGTGCAGCCCGAGGCAGAAGGAAGGGAGAGAGGGCTGGGGGGTCCTGGCCAACCCCTTGAGCTGTGGGGTCTGGGCTGGCCCCCCAGGAACAGGTGGCTGTGGCCACCCCTGGGGACAGGAAGGTCCTTTGGCATTCGGAGGTGCTCAGAGGGGGCAAGGGCCCTGCCCCTCCTTTGCCCCCGTGTGAGCACTTTGCTGCCTCCAGCTGCAGTCGCTGTAGCCCCAGGCAACATTCAATACTGTAAAAAAATTTATTTTTTTGTATATTTTATTGCTGTAACTACAGGCTTTAACTTTCTCCAAAATAAAGGCGCTGGAGCGCTGTGCTCTGGGGGAGCTGAGTTGTCTGCTCGTGCCGCTGCCTCCCCCGGGAACGGGGGCCTCGTCAGAGAATTTGGAGCTGCGGTTTGCTCGGTACAGCCCCCGGCACGCGTGGGCCGGGGCCCGCGGGGGGCGTGGGAGCCGCGGGGGGACCCATCGCACCAGCCCAGCCCTTGGCTTCTGCGTCCCCGGGGGCTGCTCTACCTGCGTCAAGGAAACCCCGGTGCCAGCGGGGATAGGACGTGGCGGGGCCGGGGCCCTGCGGCTGCCCC